TTCCTTCCTTCCTTCCTTCCTTCCTTCCTTCCTTCCTTCCTTCCTTCCGTCAGCTTCCCTCTTCATTCTCCTTTCTTCTTCCTTCCCCTCTTTCCTTATTTTTCCTTCCTTGCTCTCTTCCCATCTTTCCTTCTTTTGCTTTGTCTTTCCTCTTTCCCTTTCCCCTTTCCTGACCCTTCTTGGATGCTCAAATGCAAAAGAGGAAATATTCCTCCTTTTGTTTTGGTTTTTTTAAAGTTTGTTTTGCTAGCCCGCTGCCAGCGAAAACAGAGCTCAGGGAGCCATGGCAGCCTCCAGGCCCCAATTTTGGGCCACAACAGCTTCCTGCAGCCAGCCGCCCAACCCCAGCTGTTTTCACAGAGGGATGTAGTAGATTGAAACAGCTAAAAATGGAGCCCGGGAGGGCTGCACATGCCCCCACAGCTCCGTTTCTGCTGGCAGAGGGCTGCAGGAGGCCAGCATGGTTGAAAATGGAGCCCGGGAGGACTGCATGTGCCCCCCCAGCTCCATTTTCACTGGCAGAGGTACCATGTCCCAGTCCTTTGCTGTTTCCAGGACAGCCCCATGGGCCAGATTTAAGCACTCTGTGGGCCTTGACTTTGACACCCCTGTCATACGTTATACGTATTTCTATACCAAACTATTGTATTTAATAATATAAAGAAATATTGTGTTTTAACACCAGGAATATGTGTACACAAAGTCCATATAAATGTATAGCTACCAAGGTATAACAATGCTCTAGATCAGGGGTCGCCAACCTTTTGGACCTCAGGGACCAGCAAACTCATAATTTTAGATCCCGGGGACCACTAACCGGTTCTGTGGGCGTGGCCTAATTTGTGGATTTGGCTTGGTGGTCATGTGACTGGCTGGGCATGGCTTGTATGTAAATATTATAAATATTTATATAAATATTGATTTTTTTTTATTAAAAGAGAGAAACTTTTACCCAAAATCAGGCAAAGCAGGCAGGCAGATTGAGTTGCTCACAGAATCACAGATTCGTTCAGAAATCTATCTGCCATTGGCTAGCTCAGTCTGTCATATAAAATTTGCTTGCAAGCAAACTCACAAAATTAATTCACAACACACCATGCATGTAAATATTGAATTTTTTTATTTAAAAAAAGAGCAACTTTTACCCAAATTCAGGCAAAGCAGGCAGATTGAGTTGCTCACAGAGCAACTATCTGCCATTGGCTAGCTCAGTTTCTCAAATTTGCTTGCCGTGAGTCTGCACTGAATTTGCTCGCAAGCAAAACTTCAGTCCTAAGGGAGGTTCAGCTGTGCTTAAAGGCAGAGCTGAAGATCTAAAGACTAGCTAGAAAGCAAGAAATCCAACAATTTCCTGCTTCCTAGCTAATCTAAATCTCCCAGCACAGCAGAACAGCTGATAGTCGGAAAAAAGAAAAATAGAAATTTAGCAGGCAAGTTTACCGGGTAAGGAGTGAGTGGGCAGGGAGGGTTCCTGCAGGCCATGTGGGCGGTGCAGCCTTGTGTTTCTGCGCAGCCTGGATTAATTGCTTTGGGAAGGTTGCTCTGGGAGTGAGATTTCTCTGCAGCCCACCAAAATTTTCTCACAGCCCACCAGTGGGCCGTGGCCCACCGGTTGGCGATCACTGCTCTAGATTCTCTCTTAAAGTTAACTTGCTAAGCAAACTATAGTCACATTATAAATTTCCTTTCAGTATTAGTGCTATTATGCCACTTTTCACAAAATATAATGACTATTATATTTTATCCTTTTTATATGTAACTCAAGTCAGCGAGAATACTTAATACTGTTGCTTCCTATTTTCCTCACCTTGCGAGGTGTGTGGGCTAAGAGAGAGTGACTAGACCAAAGTCATCCAGCTGGCTTTAATGCCTAAGAATGTCATTACTGTGCTGTTCTACAAAGAAAAACACAATAGGAATGAATACAAAAATTTACAGGAGGTTACTTGTTAAACTTGAAAAACCTGAAAGAAGTTAGGCAGAAAGCATATTGAAAGGGTAGCAAAGTGACAATGAACTTAAATTGGGAAATATCTTATCTCGGGGGTGAGCAGGGCTTGCAGATCGGATACTTCAGCATGTCATTGAGAAATGTATAACTATGAAAAAAATACTTTATTTATTTAGAACAGGGGTATCAAACTCAAGGCTCACGGGCCAGATCCGGCCCATGAGGTGGTGAATTTGACCCGGCCAAGGGGCCCTCGATCTTCAACTGGTAATGTCCATCTGGGCTGGACCACAGCCAGCCTTAGAACCCCTTGTGCAGAGGATGGACCTGGAGTCACAGTGGGAAGATGGGGATTCGGGAGCTCCTGAAAGAACCATCAATATTCCTTTTGGATCTAAAATGTCCCACAGAAATGGCGACAGAAGGAGGAACATCTTGTCGATCTCAGGGACATCGCAAAGTCCCTGGTTGATCAAGGAAAGCTTCCTGAATTGGCGGCAGAGGAAAGCAGCCATTAAGACTGCTGGAAAGCTGGGACAGCTCCAGAACGAAAGGGAAAGCACAGGCAAGTATGTTGGAACTGGGTGAGATTTTAAGTTTTTTTTTCCGCTAAGGATTAAAGAGCACTCTAAGAGGAAAAAGAAAATCTAAGAAGATTGAAGACAAAAGAGAAAGCTAGCGGCAGGAAAGCATGTTTATACTGTCAGATCTAATTAAGGCTATTTTACTACGTATTTTAATAGAAATATTAATTTGTTCTTTTTTAACTGGACTGGACTAACAATTTGGAAAAGACAAAGTTTTAATTTTAATTCTGGATTATTTTCCCCTTTTTAATTTGATATTTAGTAACTTGTAACTCTAAAAGTGAAACTTTTCTTTTTATATATTTTTGAAACCTTTTTGGATACAATATAACAAAGGAATGAAAACAAAGTAAAGCAATAGTGCCCCCCTAGAGGTTACAGAAAAATTGGAAAGTTTTAAGAATTGTTTTTCTGAAAGCAAGCTGTTTAGACCCAAAAGGAAGGTAAAGAGCAAACTGCTGAAAGTTTGCTGAAACAGGTGCTATGCTGGCAATCTAAACAGCTGGAGATAGAAGAAGAGGAGAAAGACTACCATGACCTTATATTATGTTTTGACTTGGAATTGCTTTGTGACTGCTATTTAAAATAATTGCTGGCTATTCTATTTTGTTTTATCTTTTACTGATGGTATCTTTTCTGAGCCTTTTTACTATTTCAAATTTGTTTTGCAGCAGCTTGCCCCACCCCCTCCCGTTAGCCTCCTATTTGGAACATTTTAGTTCTCCCTATTTTTATTTTTTATTATTGGACTATTAGAAGTGGATTATTTTTGGAACTCTTTCTTTTTTTAATTTTTAGCTTGTTTTTTTTATTTTTGTCTCCTTGTAGATTTAATATTTTTAATTCCTCTATTTTATTTTTATTTTAATTTTTACTTTTTTCATATGGAAAGCTTGTTTCTTTTACAATTGGATTAAGGTAGAGAAGAACCTGAAGAAAGCAGAATTTGGATTAATTGGCAGATATTCTTTGTTTGGGATTATAATTAATTTGAGATGAGGAAGACAGCTGCAACAGTATCTTCGATCCCTACTTCCTCTTCCAGCTGGTCAGCGATCATTACATCCTATGCTACAGCAGGAAAAGGAAAAAGAGAAAGAGAAAAAGGAGTTTCCAGTGCAGGAGTTAAGACAATGATGCAAGCAATACAAGCAATACAAGAACAAGGGAAACATGTTGAAGAGAAAGTGGAAAATATACAACAGATGATGAAGAATGAAGAAAGAATACTTACTAAAAATGCAATTAAAACACAAATTCTACAAAGCTCAAGAGATGAACCACTGAAATATAAAGATAAGAAGACTGTGGTCCTAAAACAAGTACCAAGGAAAGTGAGGGAAATAAGAAGAGAGTATCAATTCTTGACAAAAATTTTAATTAAGAAGGGTGTGAATTATAGATGGCTGTTTCCTGAAGGACTTATGTTCACCTGGCAGGAGCAAAGACATAGAATAGATTCAATAGAGAAAGCAGAACTATTTTATGGAGAATATTTTAGAGGGAAAGAGGATGAGAAATTGCGAGAAGAGGAAATAATCAAAATTCAAGAAGAAATGATTGAAGCAAGAGATAAAATAATCCAAGAATAAGCAACATGTGAGGAAGGAGCAGTAGGCGGAAGAATGGAGTATAAAGAAGCGAGGGAGCAAAGGTCTACTAGAGCTATAAACCCTACATATAAGGTATGAACAATGGAAGAAAAGAAACTAATCACAATGAATATAAATGGACTGAATTTGGCTATAAAAAGAAGGAAAATATTTCACAAATTAGAAAAATTAAAATTGGATATAATTTGCTTACAAGAAGTCCATATTAGAAAACAACATCTTCAGATGTTAATAATATGAAAATTGGGAACTTATATACCTCATTGGCTCAAAAGAAAAAAGGGGGAGTTGCACTATATATTAAAAATACAATTAAAGCTGAATTAATTTTTACAGATGAAAAAGGAAGAATATTAATGGTAAAAATAATTGACAACGTAAATATACTTTTAGTAGCAATATATGCCCCTAATGAAAAACAAGAAGAATTTTACAAAAATTTACACAACAAAATTATTGATTTGGAATATGATAATA